TGAGTGAAAGTTATTCACCCTCTTGTCGTAGGAATTTATCTAGTGAATCTTCTGTATTACTTTCATTATAAGTATATCCTTCCTTAGATAGGAAAATCAAAGCTGTGCACAGTGCTCCAGATGTCATCTCACCAAAGTTACGTACAATTGTAGCAAAATTTCCTTTTCTTGTACTTCAATCCCCTTGCAATGAAGGCCAACAGGCTTTTGTCTTCCTATGATAAACCAAAAGAACTGTGGATTCTGGAAGTCTGAAACGAAAACACAAGATACTGGAGAAACTCAGCAAGTCTAGCAGCATCTGTAGAGAGAAACATGGTGTTATCATTTTAAGTCCAGTGACACTTGTCAGAACTCAATGAAGGGGCACTGGACTTGAAACATTATCATGCTTTTGTCTCTACAGATACTGTCAGACCCTTGTTAAGTTTCTCTGGCATTTTTGTTTTTATTTGTCTTCTCTCTTGCTTGTTGTATTTGCAAGATAATATTTAATGTTCTGTTGTATTCAAAACTTGTTGAACATTGACATTTAAATGTCTCACACCTTTTAAAGACATATACTGCTTTGGTATTATTACAAACAAAATGAATAGGCTCACACCTTGTTGTCTACTCACTTAACCTCAGTACAGTCACAGTTTTTATTTTTTCCTATCAAATAAGGATGTACTTACATTGGAGGCACAACAAAACAGACAATTAAATTCACAAAAGTTCCTCCTACTGTACCTTTTCAACCATTTAGAGAGACAAGAAGAGCAGAAGGGAACATCACCACCTGCAAGTTCTTCACCATTCAGTCTTGGAAATATATTGCTGTGCCTTTGATGACACTGGGTCAAATCCTGGACATTTCTCCTCAACAGCATTGTGAGTTCCCACACCAAATGGACTGCAATAGTTCAAGAAGGCAGCTTACCACCACTACCACCTCAGGAGCAGCTTGGGATGGGCAATAAAGATAGTTAAGCCAAAAAAGCTCAAGTCCGATTAAATGAGTTTAAAAAGTCCTCGTGCAGCCTTTTACCATTCCTGCTCTGTTTAAAACTCAACAAAGTTTCAATGTGCACACCAAACCACTCTTGCTGTGACTATCGCTTTAGATTTCTAAACCTCCCTTCACCTGATCCTTCCCTCTTCTACCTATTAGTTTAAAGCTTTGCCCTATTAGTACAATTCATCAAAAGACTGATCTAATTCCAGTTTAAGCGGAAAACATCCCAATAGAACAGCTGTTTTATAACTAGTGCCAATGCCCCATGAATCAAACCCCTTCATACCACAACACTCTGAGCTATTCTAAATTCTCTGAACTGATTTATCCCTATGCCAATCAGCATGTGACTGAGTCATGCAATAATCCAAAAATTATTAACTTTGTGATTCTGTGTATAATTTGGACCCTAATTCCTTAAATTCCCTCAGCAAAACCTCATTCATTGCTCTACCTATGTCATTGGTTCCTATGTGGACCACAGGACTGATCCTTTCCTTTCTTTCTCCAGTCACGAGGAAATGTGGCTAAGACTAGTACAGAGCAGGCATCACAAACTTTGATACGCCCAGATATGACTGCAGAGGATAGTGTCTGCCCATTAATCTATCTAACTCATCTATTCATTTAACGGATGGAAAGCAGTGTGTGTGTGTAAATGGGTCATTTTCAAATTAGTGGGCAATAAATAGTGGAGTGCTGGCCTCAGCTATGTGCAATTCATATTAATGACTTGGATGAAGAGCCAGTTGGGAATATATCTCAGTTTGCTATTGATACACAGCTGGATGGAGAGGTAAACTGTAAGGAGGATGCAGGGAAGCTACAGGGAGATATAGACAGGTTCAGTGAGTGAGCAGGTAGGAAATGTGAGGTTGTTAACATTAGTCATAAAAAGAAAATAAGAGTATATTCACACTTTTCAATTTGCAAGTGTTGATGCTTAGAGGATGTACTTGTACAGGGAGCACAGAATGTTAGCATGTAGGTCCAGCAAGCAACCAGGAAGATGAATGACATGTTGGCCCTTATTGCAAGGGGATTGGAGTACCTGGAATAAAGAAGCCTTGTTAAAATTATATGGGATTTTGAGACCACATGGAATACTATGTGCAGTTGTGATCTCCATGATTGAAGAAAGATGTATTTCCATTGAAAGCAGTACAGCAAAGGGTCACTTGATTAGTGTTTGGGATGAGAAGGTTGTTTTACGGTAATAAGCTGGGTAAACTGGGCTGCTACTCTGAACTTCAGAAAAATTAGATACAATCTGATTGAAACATACAACGTTCTGATAAGGTTTAACAGATGAGATGTTGAGACATTGTTTCTGCTTGTTATACAGTCTGAAACACTAGCACAGTGACAGGATAAGAGATGATCATTAAAGACAGAGAGGAGAAATTTCTTCACTCAGAGTTCTAAAACCTTCCAAAATACCCTGGATTCCCGAATGATCCCTAGCAAATTGAAAAACCACAAGGACAGCATTTCTGTTCAAAAAAGGAGGCAGTCACAAAGCAGGAAACTGTTGACCAGTTAAAAGCTAGACCACATTACTAAAAAAGCAGTAGCAGAATATTTAGAAAACCAAAAAACCATCAGGCAGAGTCAACATAGTTTTGTGGAAAGGAAATTGTGTTTGACAAATTTATTAAGGTGCTTTAAGTTGTAACAAACAAGGTGGATAAAGGAGAGCCAATAGTTTAGTGTATTTGGATTTCCAAAAAAAGGATATATTAAGTAGCACATAAAAGCTTAATTTAAGAGATTCATGCTGATAGGGTTGAAATATAGGCATAGATAAGGATTGGCTAACTACCAGGGAACAAATTTGGAATAAATGTATTTTTTTAGGACGATAGACTATAATGGAGTGCCCAGGGATTAGAAATCTTCAACCATTTACAATTTACATTAATGACTTAGATGAATGTATTGTGACCAAATTTGCTGGTGATACAAGAATACAAGGAAGTACAGAGGATCAGGGGACTATGGTGTTCATGTTCTATAGATCCTTGAAGGCAGCAGGACAGGTAGATAAGGTGGTGAAGATGACGTGTGGGTTTCTTGCCTTTATAAGTCAAGGCAATGAATACAAGAGCCAGGAGATTATAATGGAGCTGTATAGTACTTAGTTAGGCCACAGCTGGTGTACTGTGTGCAGCTTTGGTCGCCACATTAAAGGAAGGATGTGATTGCACTGAAGACATTCACCAGAGGCAAGAACTCTCAAAACATTTAGGATCTATTTAGATGAAACACTTAAAATGCAATACGAGACAAGACTACAGGTGAAGTGCTGGAAAATGGGGTTACAATAGATGGAGATAGTAGGAACTGCAGATGCTGGAGAATCTGAGATAACAAGGTGTAGAGCTGGATGAACACAGCAGGCCAAGCAGGGTCTGAAGAAGAGTCTAGGCCCGAAACGTCAGCCTTCCTGCTCCTCTGATGCTGCTTGGCCTGCTGTGTTCATCCAACTCTACACCTTGTTATCTTACAATAGATGGATGTTTGATGAGAAGTGCAGAGACAATGGGCCATAGAACCTTTTGCTCTGCTGTAAAAACTTTTTGACTCTAAATTCAGAGATTTTATCAGGCTAAATCCTGGGATAAAATCCCACAAGGACAGATTGAGAAGATTGGCATACATACATTGGGGTTTAGACGATTGAGAGATGATCTTATTGAAACATCAGATTTTAAGGACCCTAACAGGTTGGATGCTGAGATGATATTTCCTTTCATGCATGATTCTAGAGTTAATAAGTACAGTTTTTAAAAATAAGGCCTCCCATTTGAGGTGGAGATGAGTAGAAATTTCTCCTCTCAAAGAAATCCAAGTGCGGGCTAAACGCTTTGAGTAAGCAGTGGAGGCTAGGTCATTGATATATTCAAGGTTGAATTAGACAGATTTTTGATTTACAAAGGAGTCAACGCATATGGAGACAGTGAGAAAAGTGAAGTTAAAGTCACAATCATATCAGACATATTCTTGAAAGACTGGTGGAACAGACAGAAGGCCCAATAGTTTAATTCTGTTTCCATTTCTGATGATCTGATGACATTTTGCTGTCTTATATTCGAATCCAACTCTGATTTGCTCAGGTACCTTCCACCTTCTAAAGGATTTCTTCTTCCAATCTTATCATTGTGATTTCTAATTTCTTGAAATGGAACATACTTTTCTACATCAATGAAAGTTACCCCAAAAATATCCAACTTTAGTTCTGTTCCTACTTTACATGCTTACATTTCAAAAATACTTCAGTGCCTGTGAATTCCTCTGAGATATCGGTGGTTATGAAAGACCCATAAATAAATGTACGTCTTTTGTTTCTTCAGTTTTAAGGTACAGTAAATCCTCTGAATCCGTGAAATCCAAAATCGCGAATTCGCCTATCCAAGCCAAAAAAATAACTAACAACAAAACTCAACATCCATGGGAAAAAAATTACGTACCTGCGATTTTTAACCTATTTTTAACAAGATCCATACTCACAAATTTCATCATTCGTGGGGTTTCACAGGAACAGAAACCTCGCGGATACGGAGGAATGTATTATATTTTGTTCAAGTTTCTTTGACTGTTTTGCAAGACCCCTCAATTTGCTTCTCCGAAAACTTGCACCAAAATCTTTATGTTTTTGCACTCAACTTTCACTATTTAAACCTCACCCCATGATACTCACCAAATTTCTCGTGCTTCCCAACCTCAAGCATGAAGCAAACTCTGATGAATTGCTCAATACAAATGAGACTCTGCCATCGCAGCTTTGTGTGAGAAGTAATTCCTGCTTGTTTCAGTATTTTCTCTCCTTCTCACCAGCTGTTGCACATACACAAATTGTTAAAAATAGTGCATTTTAATATGAAGAAGCTACACACAACAGAAAAATGTGCAGGGGACATTGGTTACTTTCTCTCCTTCCTGTTTGATCTGTGAATCAAGGCTCTGGTGCGAACCTGAAATATTCTTATCCTTAACTCGGCAGAATGACAAAACAGTTCCTACGACAGCACTGTAAGGAGCAGAAGCTCTACCAGACACCTTACCTGAATGACACACTCTATTTGCACTTTAAAGGTTAGTGGAATTTTCAGTATCTCCAAATATTCTTAGCTACTAACTTCACAGCTTGGAGTTTCCTTCATTGGCACAGCCTAGAGATTGGACCCAGAAATGTACCAATGTTGTCCTCATTTCACATCAGTCACAGCAAGTTTAACACCTGCAATCAGGAAAACCTTTCAGTTCTTGATTTAGCTTTTACTTTACATAAAGACTGTAGATTGCCTGCAAAACTTGTTACTCCAAATTCCATGGCCTTTTAAGCCATGTCATTGATCTGGGCCCAGATAGTAGTGTACCCTACCTACCACTATGACGAGCACATTTGTGTGAATATTATCTGTCTGTTTTGCTTGAATGGTGCTGTAACCTGATAGCACTGTATGAAACTGCCATAGATCACAAATAAATTTAACAAGATTCCATACAATGCAACGAACTTAGTGGGCACTAAATATAAACAGTCACCTGACACCACTTAGAATCATTGAATCCCTGAAGTGTGGAAATAGGCCCTTCGGCCCAACAAGTCCACACCTACCCATTCCCTTATAACCCACCTAATCTCCACATCCCTGAACGCTATGGGCAATTTAGCATGGCTAATCCACCTAGCCTGCACATCTTTGGACTGTGGGAGGAAACTGGAGCACCTGGAGGAAACCCACACAGACACGGGGAGATTGTGCAAACTCCACACAGACAGACACTCGGCGGTGGAATCAAATCCGGGTCCCCGGCACTGTGAGGCTGCAGTGCTAACCACTAAGCTACCGTGCCACCCAAATGGAGTAGAAGGTTTCAAGTTAAAAAATATGATTAAATGTTAACCCATTTTTATTCGCTTGTTCATTGTCTTTTATGTTGATTTCAGGATTGATGATGAAATCGTGAGTTTGAGTTTACAAGTACCCATCCCACTTTAAAGGGACTGTTTGTTTTCACATTCAGTGCAAACTTAACTGTTTCTGCCTGAAATAAATGAGGCACTGAAGGTGCTAGAATAAAAAGTTTAAAATGGGCTTTAATGCAAAAAGGTCGTCATTTACGTATCATAGTAAATCTTTGCCCAATTTATGTGTGACCGCTTGAAGTCTCATTGTGATTGTATCTGACTAAATATGTTGAAATTGCAAGCTCAGAGTCAGGGGCGGCACGGTGGCTCAGTGGTTAGCACTGCTGCCTCACAGCGCCAGGGAGCCGGGCGATTCCACCCTCGGGCAACTGTCTGTGTGGAGTTTGCACATTCTCCCCATGTCTGCGTAAGTTTCCTCTGGGTGCTCCGGTTTCCTCCCACAGTCCAAAGATGTGCAGCCTCGGTGGTTTGGCCATGCTAAATTGCCCATTGTGTTTAGGGATGTGTAGCTTAGGTGGGTTATAGGGGGATGGGTCTGGGTGGGATGTCCCAAGGGTTGGTGTGGACTTATTGGGTCAAAGGGCCTGTTTCCACACTTTAGGGATTCTATTATTCTCCTTCAAATGGCCAAGTTTGATATGAGTATGCTTTCAATATTTAAGAGATTTAAATGGTCAAGGTCAAAACTGACCTGAAAAGGATGTTTGGGGAAAGAACATCAGGATTGTGTTATCGTTTGTTAAATTTATATGATAGATATAGCTGAGATAAGTTGTACTTATCCAGGTATTAATCTTGTGGTGATTCGATTGCACCTCATTTCCATCAAAAATGGAGGCCAATATGACTCATTTAGAAGTTAATTTTGATGTATTTAAGACAGTGCATCAGAAGACAGCTGAAAAAATAATCCTGAAAACAGTATAATCATAAATGATGGGGACGGGGGTGGTACTTGTGCTGCAGTGGTAGCGTCCCTATTTATGGCTTAGGAGGCCTGGTTTCAAGACCCACGCTGCTCCAGAGATGTACAATAATGTTTCTGAATAGATTGCTCAGAAAAAAATAAATAATCACAAATGAGGGGGCTTTGGTGGTGCAATTGTAGTGTCCCCACCTCTGAACCAAGAGTCCCAGGTTCAAATTTCAGTTGCTGTCGACATGTTTAGTAAAATTTCTGAACAGGTTTGTTGGTAAATATCTGCAATCACAAAAGACTGTCTAGCTACTGGACTTGCAAAGCCATGATTATGGTGCGAATGATGTCTTAGAATGTAGAAACAGTTATCAGAATCACTAAGCAGTGAAAGTGAATTCCCAACTGTGTATGTTTATTTAACTTTTTTAGTAGTAGCCTTTTTGATAGCATGTTAATTCCGATAATTATAGAGGAATATAATTAAAATTTTGCTCATTTCGTATTTTTTGCATGGGGACCTCAATGTGTCAACCATTTCAGTTGTGTAATAAATCTAATATTTTAATCAAAATTTTGAGAAATTTGTTTAAACAAAGGAAAGTCCTGGCTCTGTTCTCTCTCGGGTTATTGTTCCCTCCTTCCTGCTGTTATTAAGAGGTTATTGAAGAATTAATAGCAGATGGTGGGATTTGAATTTGTTAAAAGAAACCCTGGAATTAAGAGTCAAATGATGACCATGAATCCATTGTCGACTGTCGAGGAAAAACCCATCTGGTCCACTAATGTCCTTTAAGGAAGGAAATTTGCCAACCTTACCTGGTCTGACCTACATGTGACTCCAGACCCACAGCAATGTGGTTGACTCTTAACTGCCCTCTGGGCAATTAGGAATGGGCAATAAATGCTGGCCTAGCCAGCGACGCCCTCAGCTGTGAATGAATAATTTAAACAAAAAATAAATAAAGCTTTTGCCTGTTTGTTTTAATGAATTTCAGCTGGAGGTAAGTGTAGTGGAATAAGGTAATGGAGTTCCCCAGTGGTCAGCTTTGGGATCCTTGCTTTTCCTGACATTTATTGATGATCTAAACCTTAATGTACAGGAAACAACTTCAAAGTTTGCAAAGAAAACTTGGAAGCACTGCAAACTGTGAGGAGGATGAAGTAGAACTTCAGAGGGGCATTGACAAGTTGGTAGAGTGGGCAGATAGTTGACAGGTAAAGTTCAATGTAGAGAAGTGTGAGATGATATATTTTGCTAGAAAAATCATGAAGAGAAAATATGAAAAAATGGGTAGAACCCCAAAGGAGCAAAGAAATCTGGGTGTATATGTACATAAGTCATTAATGTTGGCCAGACAGGTGGAAGAGTAGTTAGTAAAACATAAAGTGCCCCAGGCTTTATTAAGAAGGAGGTGGAGTACAAAAGCAAAGAGATCATGCTGAAGTTCATGGATAAGATACTACTTAGATGCTACTTAGCTGGAGAATTGTGTACATTTTGGGCATCACATATCAGAAATGATATGAATGCATTGGAGGGAATGCAGAAGAAGTTTGCTAAGAATGGTTCTGAGAATTAGAAATGTCAGTTATATTGTCATAGAGATCCAAAGCATAAAAAGACTCCCCAGCCCATCATGTCATGCAGGTCAAAAACAATCACCTCACCTGACTGTTCTAATCGCTTTTTCCAGCACTTGACCTATAGTTTTCTTGCAAAGATTGATTGGAGAAGTTGGACTGCATTCCTTGGAGAGGAGAAGATTAAGAGGAAATTTTCTGGAAGTTTTCAAAGATATGATCAAAATATATATGGAAAAACTATTCCCACTTGTGAAAAGATTGAGAACAAGAGGGGACAGATTTGCAAAAGAAGCAAATGTAAACTTTTTCACATGGCAAGTAGTTAGGGTCTGGAATACAACAAAGGAATTTTAATGGAAACAAGTTCAATCTCCACTTTCAAGAGGGCATTGGATGCATGTAAGTTATCCATTTATTTTCCATCCACTCTGAATATTGAGGGTGGAGAAAGCTGTTTATTCAAGGAAAGAACAGTTGCTCAGAAGATGCCTGATCTAACTGAATTTTTTAGTATAGATTTCTCTTTAGTTTAACAACAATAATAATTTTTAATTTACACAGTTAGAGGTTACCTACACGTTTAAGATGTGACAGAGTCCAAAGTTGCACTGTGTGCAATTCAGTTTTTAATTTGCATCCAGGGTTATCTTGTCATACCAGATTTGACTTTCAGTTTGATGAGTCTTTTTTTCTGTACTGCCTGTTGTAGGCTTCTCCTGCATTGAGAATCTGGAGGAGTACACTGGCCTGAGGTGCCTGTGGCTGGAGAGTAATGGATTGTTACGGATTGAGAACCTGGATGCTCAGACTGAGCTGCGTTGCCTCTTCCTGCATCAAAACCTCATTCATAAAATAGAGAACTTGGAGCCACTGCAGAAGTTGGACTGTCTCAACCTGAGCAACAACTACATCAAAAGCATTGAGAATCTCTGTAAGTAAAGGTCAGGGGTCTGTCTGTCTGTTCCCATAGATATGAAGTGCGCATAATATAAAGCGGGTGTTCACATCTCATTATCACACTGTTCCTTGTCACACAGACTATCTCATTCTGAAACCAAAGGAGAAAATCTAAATGGAAGTGATTATCAGTCCCACTCTAACATGTGACAGAGTTTCCATCACATTTATGCAAGTGAGAATGCAAGTAAAAATGGTTTCCAAACTTGTTCCAATTTCTCAGTGTTCAGTTGTATGGAAGCTGTGAATGAGTGCAGGGCAGATGATGTCTATACTGATGGGAGAGGCATAGGGAAAGTATGCATTGTGCATGGGAAAGAGGACAGGCTGAAGTACGCATGGTTGGGAACAAGCAGGGATGGCGAGAGAAGCCACTATGTGATGGCAGGTGAGCAGGAGGATTGGTGTCAGACTGGGAGTGACAGGAACAGGAGTGCATGGTGGTACTGTGGGGGAGGTAATTAAAGGTGTATGCAGTGGGCAATGGAGCATAAGGAATGGGTGAAGTGCGAGCACCAGACTACAAATTACAACCTGTGTGTTAGTGTATTTCCTCTTTATAATGTTTTAGCACAGCTTCTCTACCAGATTTCAGTTAAAACCAGTGAGTGAACTGTGTCTGCTCCTCTCCTTCTCACATTTACTCTTTCTCTCTCACGCACAATCACTCATTTACTCACTGACTCTACCTTGCTCCTCACCAATGATCTCTATTTGACTCTCTCCTTTTCATCATTTTACAAAAGAATATAAAATAAAAAGGAGCAGGAGTGGACCAAACAAATCCTGCAGCTACGCCAATTCCACTTAACTTCTGATCACCACATAACAACTATTTGCAATATTGGAATGCTTTTCTATGTTTAAAAGTGTATGTTGTTACTGCAATTCTGGACATATCAAGATAAATAGCAACCGGCTTGTCTGTTTCCCAGGCTGGGCTTTTGACTACTGTACTTTAATATCAAAGAGGGCAATTGATCCTTGGTAAATTGATGCACATCATCTGATACTGCCTTCCCTGTGGTATTACATGGATAATTGTAACCGGTCTCCTTAATTCAAGCCTGATCTTCTGCCTTCTTAGCCTGCCTGCCAGCACTCAAAACACTGCAGCTGGCTCACAACCGTTTGAGCACAGTGAAAGACATTGAACATCTTAAACAGTGCCCTAGCCTGAGTGTCCTTGACCTCTCGCACAACAAACTGACTGACCCTGACATCATCACTGTCTTTGAGGTGATGCCTGATCTGGTAAGTAAAGCTTATCTGTTTGTTCTGTAAATGTTGAATGCTTTGTACTTTGACAATGCAATGTGCAAGGTCAAAAATCACACGACACCAGGTTACAGTCCTGATGAGGGGTCGATGAAATGTCGACTTTCCTGCTCCTTGGATGCTGTCTGACCTGCTGTGCTCCTTCAGCTCCACATTTTGTTAACTCTGACTTCCAGCATTTACAGTCCTTGCTATCTCATAGTACAACAGGTTTATTTGAAGACACAAGCTTTCGAAGTCTCGCTCCTTCTTCAGGTATCAGAAGGAGCAAGACTCCAAAAGCTTGTGTCTTCAAATAAACCTGTTGTACTGTAACTTGGTATTGTGTGATTTTTGGCCTTGTCCACTCCAGTCCAACATTGGCATCTCCACATCAATGCAACGTGCAGTCCAGGTCTTAACAATATGGATTGAGAATTATTCGTGCTGAACGCAGAATTTAAATTTTCAATACCATATAAAATCTAGAAGAATATGGATGCTGAACTGATATCCTCTCTGGTGACAAGATGGTAAGGTGTGTGAAAACCCTTTTGGTCAAGGATCTCAATTTTAATTTAGATCATCCTGTTAAGTTTAAATATTCTTCCCTGAATTGAAAGAGGGCAAGGCAGAGGTGACCCACTTTATGATTTTCATTTACCCAATGCTTAATTTCACATAAGTATGTTCAGACTATTGCTGCACACCCTGCACATCACCAGCTCCTGTGTTCAGACTGTTACTGGACTTTTTTCTTCATAACACTAACAGACCCATGTTAAGACGGTCAAAGAGCTGTTCCCTACACACCACAACCTCTTTTGTTTCTGTCACTGGGCTGTGCCCTGTACAGCCCCAGCTGCCATGTTTAGACTGTCATTGAACTATTCCCAAAAATGCATCAGCTGCTGTGCTCAGATTGTCATTCGATTGTTTGCCGTAGATCAGCTTCCATGTTCAACATTAAATGTGATTCTGTTATTTGTTAGCGTTTACTAAATAATCCCAACTGCGCTAAGAAATACACCAGAAACCAATTTAAGTTTATTAGTCAGTCTTGCAGTGAGACTGATTGATTGGTGAAGGGAAATGGAATTGATCCATATATATTATGACTTCTTCATCGAGGAAAGTGTCATGGTGACTGCCGAGCCCTGCTGAATCACCCAAAGTAAAACTCTGACCATTCAGATTGCACCTGCTTGGCCTGAGTACTTTTCTATCCCCCAGCTAACTAGGATTGATAATTAAGTTTCTGCTGCATCTCCATGCCAATCCTGGTTCAATCAATCAGCACCTTCTCATACTGTACAAACTGGTGCTCCCTTGTCAGGTTGCGGTCAGTCCAATTGGTGCAATGCCAAAAGCTTTGACTTTGTATCTCCTTGTAACAATTTTTCCAAATTAAGATGGCAAATACCACAAATAGACCAAACAGCATTTTACCAGATTTATGAGCATTATAAAAAGACAGTAACCAAATCATGCAGCAAGATATTCAATCAGTTATTAATATTGGAGTCTGTCTAGACAGAAAAGTTGAGCAAGAAGTAATGACAGAAGGCAATGAAAAGTGAGAGAGATGAACAAAAGGTCCAATTGAAGCTGGTATGTACATGCACACCTGGAACCTGTGCCAGTGTGTACATGCAGATCTGGAGCTTGTGCTGGTAGTTAGGTACAGACCTGTAACCGTGCTGGTATAAATGTGCAGATCTGGAGCCTGCACTGGTATATATGTGAAGACCTGCAACCCGTGGCAGTGTCTTTGCGCAGACCTGCAGCCCGTGTTAATGTGTACCATATGCTGATACATAAGTCACAAAAAGTTAGTATGCAGTTACATAAATGATTGGGATAACAAATGGGATGTTGTATTTGTTGTAAGGGAATTGAATGTAATAGTGATGTTTTGCTGCATTTATAAATAGCGTTGATGAGATCGCATTCTTTGGTCTTACTTAAGAAAGGAGGTAAATACTTTAGAAGGAGTTCTGAGAAGGTATGAGACTTATTTGATGAGGAAAGGTTGGACAGATTGGGTTGGTACCAGTGCGAGCATAAATGAATCGGGGTAACCTTGTTGAGATACATGAGACGCAGGCAGGGAGAAGGAAATAAATCATGGACCCTGATGCTTCACCTGTTCCTGAGACCACCCTCCCCCACCCCCAACGCGCGCACACACACACACCAGCGTCCCCTGTAACCCGTCATCTCCAGAGCCACAATACTAAATCTCACCTGAACACCCTCCCGAGCCTTCTGGTACCCAGCATTGGCAACCGTAGTCACATTGGGTGGAACTATTTTATTATAGGCCAGCAAAAATTCTTCATTTTTGTTTGCTGCCTCTTTTTATGAAGCCCGTCAAGTGCTCAGGTTTCAGTGTGATACACATCTGACCGCAGTTTCGTCAAATGATTGCATATAAATTCGTTGTTGGCTTTTTGGGACAGAATTCGCAGTCCGAAGTTGTTGAACTCCGCGTTGAGTCCAGAGGCTGTGAAGTACCCAATCAGAAGGTGAGAAATTGTTCCCTCAGCTTATGTTGTGGAGGTGCCAGTGTTGGACTGGGGTGGACAAAGTCAGAAATCACACAACAACAGGTTATAGTCCAACAGGTTTATTTGAAATCACAAGCTTTTGGAGCATTGCTCTTTTGTCAGGTGAAGATTTCACCTGATCCAGGCTGGCAAGCCATTGTAGTTGCTGTTGGTATGCTGACTCGAGACAGCAAAAGACTCCCACTAGGCCTGAATTAAGTAAAAGAACTTATAGGCTGGTGTCCAGGAGAATGCACACCCTGGAAAGCTCACCTACATCTGGCTTAGAACAGTTAAATTGCTTAGCAACATCCAAATCAAAACCAATCAAAATAAATGTCTGGTTAAATGGCCACCCAGTTGTAATGGAGATTGATATCGATGTGGCTGTATTAGTGATTGCAGAATCAGCCTTTAACAAAATTCACTATGGACTCCAAACTTTAAGCTTGTGTGAGACCATGGCTAGACTGAGAACCTATATAGGAGAACCTTTACACATTAACGGTACAACTTTGGTTCCGGTCTCATATGAGAAGTAGCTGGTTTAGTTTCCATTGATTCTAGTAAAAGGCCCAAGCCTGATGGGGCGAAATTGGTTGAGAAAGATTCGCCTTCATTGACTCAACATTTTTCGATTAGAAAATGGCTGCCCAGTGAAGTCCTAATTAAATACCTAGAGGTTTTTCAGGAAGATCTAGGGACTTTCAAAGGAGACAAGACCCCCTTACATGTTGACCAGGAAGCAATTCCACAATTCTGCATGGCCCACCCAGTGCCATTTGCCTCTTGTGCAAAATTAGAGGCAGAAATCAGGAGGTTGGAAAGGAATCATCAAACCAGTACAGTTTGCAGAATGGGCAGCACTGGTCATCCCAATTGTGAAGCCCGATAGGTTGGTTTTCCTTTGTGGGGATTTTAAATAA